AAAAATTACTAATCATGGCTCTAATGTAGTATTTCTGAACTCCTAAGATCTATAAAATTAAAAAAACAGGTTAATACTAATGATTTTAACACTTACTGACATTAAACTCGCGTTTGAAAGTTCTGGTAAGAGTGGCAGTAGGCATATACATTCTGGCAACTGACTCGATTTACATTCTTTTAATCAAAAGAATTTCTTCATAAAAAACAAGTAATCCACAATTATTAAAGTTTGACTCGTGGTCATTCTTAATATTCAAAACTAGCATACCCGTGCGAGAACTCTCGCATGTTAATCCCCACCCTTTCCCTCTCCATTCCCCTATCCTTCCCATTAAGAAAGAAAGCTGTTAATGAAACGTGTTTATTTCCTTAAAAAATTATAAATGTAACTACGAACTTACACAATATCAAACAAAACTAAAACACATGAAATTGACACACTTTAAATTGACGTTGGAAACAAATTTTCAATAAATGTTTATTCAGTATTAGAGAAACATGTTCTTCCAAAACTTCACACTTCCTTGAAACATTTGAAGTTCCTTGACACTTCACTTAGCTCTTCACTTTCCTTGATAGTAACAAAATATTAGACACTTGAGAAAGCTAAGTAAAGTTTTCCATGCGAAAATACTGGATCGGACAAGTACAATCGTACTCTTTGCGATATTATTTAACTTCTTGGATTTGTTATGAGGAAAAGAGGGGGTTTTGGACGGGTAGAACGCCAGCTTGCTGCGGTGCGTAAAAATTGAAAAATTAGCTGTAAACTAAAAAGTATTATATTCTGCGTCCTTGCGTATCTAAAGAAAAGCAATTCCGAACCAAAAAATAATAAAACCAATATTTTCATCTTTGAGTAATAAATACCATTTGTTACCGTTAGAAACAATTCTGTACGCTTAGACTTAAATTCGGTACATAAGAATGTTGCTCAAACTATGTTTAGGTATTGAATATTTTAGCGAACCGACACGTTAAGTTTAATGCCCAACGCTGTATTACATACAATCTATGAGTTTACAACTGGGCATTGAAGTACAGACAACAGATACCACCAACATTTATATCGTGTGTCAGGAAAGCGATCGTTGGCAGATATCGTATGATGCGCTATTGTGACGTAGTGAAATAAGAAATAAATTTCAATAACAAAAGAAAAATAATATCATTAAAGATTATGTACAAGTTAACAATGAATTGCTAATTATTAAAACACTGCGGCACCTTTTTCCTTTAGAACACTGCTTTACCGCAGAAATACAAGCACGTCGTGATGCGCGCTGTTCGGACTCCGCTCCGTGACAATTACCGTCACAATGGCCTGAACGCCAAATTTAACCCGGTCGTGGCGACCGTGTGCCTACAGCACGCGAAGATCGTCTGGCCCTTACTCTCCGGACAATCTCGCCCACACTCCTAACCCCTTGTACACACACGTACAAGCTTCCCGATGCAAACTGAATGAGAACGCGGGCGAAGATGCGCCGCGTTAAATAGTTGAGGCTGGACACCCCCACCACTGTTCCATAAGATAGGCTCGGCCGGCTGGCGGCCGCGAGGCTCGCTGGCCAGCAGCTTGGTTTACGCCCACACACAGGATTCTCAGGGTTGGCTCGCCTGCTTCCGTAAGCGAGGCTCGCCGGCTAGATCCTCGGAGTTTACAGCCCACGGTAATTTTTGGCTCTGACGGCTCTACCTGAGTCAACCGCCAGAGCGCAAACTCCCGGAAGTTCAGGCTCAACCCCTTCCTCGCCCGCAGCGTACTTTCACCGACCTAACGGTTCTGGCCCTCGTGTTAACGACGCCACACTATTCTTTCTCTAATTTTAAATTTGGTTGCTTTTTTTAAAATTACTTCGCGTAAGATTGTAGGCTAGCGCGTTTTGATTTTTGTTGTTCATTTATTTCAATCTATTTTACTTTCGTTAATTTAAATAGTGTATTCTTTGTGTTGTGTCATGGCACACGTTTTCCCCTATTATCTCCGCGTACCCGTGCGAGAACTCTCGCATGTTAAACCTCACACTCTTCCCTATTCTTCTATTTAAATTCAAAGAACGAAACGTATTTATTTGTTTAAAAATGTATAAAGGTAACTTCCATTTCACTAACACAGTATCAAATAAAAATACAATTCAATTGATGTATAAATGAAATTTTCACTGAAGATTTATGCATTATTATTGAGATATTTCTTGGAATAATTCACAACACTCCCTTAAAAATATTTTAAGTAATTATTCAATATTCTTTGACATTTAGCTTTTCGTGATAGTCACAAAAATTTTTTTTTTAACTTTTTATTCTTGATAAAGCTACGTGACTGAACACGCTGACTTGAAAGTTTTACCGAATCACCGCTGATAACGAAAATACTGGTACAGGTAAAACGCAAACCAAACCAAACCAAACACGGCACGTCATTTTTCATTGTACACCACATCCCTGTACAATTAGGTGCACAGCACTTGTAAACCATCACAAAACTTTAAATGAATGTTTTCACTACACGCATAAGAAACAATCTTCATTGGTATCAAACTACTATTAATAGAAGTTAGTTGTTGCTGCGAGAGCGATCTTCAATTAATAATTGTGCAAATAAACCTCGTCAGTCAGCGCAAACCTCGGTGTACACAGAAAGCATAGTGTAAGATAGAGGAATCTAAGCATTCTAAACGTGACGTCACAAAGATGGCATCCACCACCAAGGGTAGAAATAGAGGAGGCATTGATAGTATCGATAGGTGCCGACCAGCAAAAAATTAATAGAATGTCCAAAAATATAATAATCATCTGTAGATTTAGCTGTGAGGAACGTTTCTTTGAAGCCTTTATATTCCCTCAATATTTTAGTCTTTAATGTCCTAGAACGCTTTGTTTGGGAGTTATTTAACGATATAACTGAGTGCTGCAGATTGCATTTAATACGAATATTTAGATGCGTTTTTTTTAAAACTAATCCTTCATACTTTTAAAGTCAAAGTACAGATCGTCTCGTCTCCGTGAAATCATCTTTCTTAGAAACCTCATTTATAAAGATTGGTTGCCTGTGAGAGCCATAAAAGATATGTATACTACTGAAATAATATTGGAAAGAATAAGAAAATACAAAATTAAAAGATTAAAAAAGGTCCAACTTAAACAACATACCCTCACTCACAAGATTACATTCAAAAAAATACTATTTCAATGTTGTTGTTTTTTTTAAGTGAAAATATCAGGTTTTGGCAGCCCAAGTGAAGAAAGCAGGGTAGTATGAAAATAGTTGAAAAAAAGCTAGTTGCCAAAAGACCTTTTGTTATCGAAATAGGAAAGTAGGTATAAAAAAATGTCTGAAAACATTTTACAAAATTAAACACATTTTATTGACTTCATTTCTTTGCTTTAATCACACTCAGACAATAAAATTATTCAATCACACGTATTCACAAATTTGTACAAATGTTAGTTGTCAACTCAATATTTACATCAAAATAACTACCACATGTATATTCAAATTACACATTCATAATATTCAGAGATACCAAGGGATTTGGGGGAGGGGGCGCTGCAGGTCTTGTGTACAGTGGATTGCCAACTTGACATTTTCTTTTAAAGAATTTTCTATTGATGCTGATGCAATATACTTCTATCTGTAGATTGTCAATATATCAATTATTAATATTTGTAACATTAACAATGGATACATGGAAGAATGTTTGTATTAAAGAAAAAACTATTTATTTAAAAAAACAAAAAATTGGATTCTGGAGGTGACGCATCCTCACAAGCCCCCCCCCCTCCCCCCTTCTTAGAGTGCACCACTGATAAAATCAAATTGATGAATTCTCAAATTTGCAGATGAAACAAAGTTATTATTCATAGTTTGTAAAATTCTATAACATAATTGTAAAGATTAGAGAGAGCAAAAAACTTATCAAGCAGCCAAAATACATTAAAACAAATATTTGAATTCTAAAAACATTTTTTTACTGTCTTGAACTAAATTAGGCAGGCGTACTTCAACAAATGCTGAAAGTTGTAGCAATCCTAGTCTTTTTGTTCCCAAATTCAACCTATTTTCAAAATTTGGTGGAGCAATGTTCATTAAGGTCCAATTCCCACAATTAACAAAATGGATTTTATTTACATTGCAACACATCTTTCAATTCTTATCTATGAATTTTTGACACTTTTGTTATTTCTTTACAATCTTCCCATTTCCCTTTCCAATTTTGCAAATAACATTATTTTGAGGTCCTGAAAATACATTTTTAGATGAAACACTTCATTATCTGGGTATCTTCAACATAAATAACTAAAATTCTAATGAATGTTAATAACGTAGGGTTTAAAACCCTAGTAGTGGCAACTTCAAGCACATTAAAAAAATAAGAATTGGTGGTTTCCCACCTGCAGAACCAGAAGCTTATGCCTTCTAGTGAAGAGAATAAATAGTGAATGCTCTCTCCAATAAGATTAGAGTTGAGTATAACTATCACTGCAAGACTGATTTTCATTTCCATGACCATCAATATGGCAATGAAGTGTGATTTCAAATGCATCCAAAGAGTTACTATTACTAATTTACCATTACTATGTAAATAAATCCTGCCAATTACACTACATAAACTATCAATTTACAGTTATAATTTTTTATTTGTAATTGAATGTTGTTATGTTTGCTAATAACTTGAGTAGTTATTAATGAAAAAAATTAACAAAATTTTTAAAAAGTTGTGTAAACTGAACAATTTTCTGCACAGTACCTTCTCAATTATTTTTTAATCATTCCATTCAACTTTAGGGGTGAAAAAACAACAGATAATCACGAACCTCCCCACGTTATGAATAATTATAAATTAATTTGAACTGTATAACTGAGCTGATCACAGCAAACTAATTTCATTTTCTTTTACGCAATGAAAGTGTTAAAATATATTTATTAAATTTAAAATTAAATGTAGTCTCTTCATAGAACACTTTTATGAACAATGTTTCAGCTTTAGAAATTGAAATAATTTCAAAAAGCTCACTACAAACCTAAATACATTCAATGAAAAACTTCTTTCAGAAGTATAATAATTAGGAAAATAATGACTGTCATAATTGTTCCTTCAGAAAAGTAGTTGTCAGTGGAAAACCATATCCTAATAGCTTGAAACTTACTTTCTGAATACTCCAAAATGCAGTTATGTTCCTCTTTTACTCAAAGTTGTATTTTTTGTAGATAATTCTAGGTTAATAAATCTTGAAAATAAGTACAGAGAACATCTGGCTTCACATCATCAATATGGATTTCAAGAAAGATAAAAATAAATTCACAAGATCTTTTAAGTCTACATCAAGAAAAGAATTTGTATCACAAATGTAATAAATTAATTATAGTTAATAGTAGTTCTCAGACTAGTTTGAAATACATATATAAAAAGATCAAAAGAGTTCCTGATTAGGGCCCAATTTATATAGAAGACCAACACGCAGATTGGACTCTTCCTCCAACCTATTTTCTCATGGCTTGGACTGAACAGTACAATAACTGCACAGATCTACAATACATATAATACTATCATTTTTGAAGTAGATAGGGTTAAATATATAGATATACTATAATTTTTGGGATTAAATCATTACCAAAAGTTTCGATACAAAACTTGCAACATAAATGCAAAGAGACTAAAAACAAATATAGTTATAATTCTATAACTACCATCATGTTTTCGCTTTCAGATATTAAAAAAGTTGGAGTTTTGTTAATCCAAAATTACAGCAAATTATCAATTAATTTATTTTTATTGACAGCATAAATAAATGTTTCCAATCAAATTAAAAGTTTTACATATTCAGAGTTGCAAAGGTTCTACAATTTTGTATAAACAATTAACAAATATCTCAGCAACACAAATCAACAAGTTCCCTTATGATAAATTTTACAATATGTTCATTCCTTTTCCAAGATATAGTTACGTGGCTTATCTTCAAATTCTTGTAAGTACCAATATAAATTTTCATTAAAAAGTATTAAGAAATTTAGAAGTCTCTTGATTGTACAGATCTCACACAAAAAGGTATCTAGATGGTTCAGGTAAGTGGAGAAATAAAAATAATGTTGGTAAAAATAGTATTGTGAATTATACCACTGTAGAGTATTTTAAATTGATAATATACTGCGATTATCTGTAAATTATTTTTTAATCTCCTACAATCTTTGGGGCCATCCGTAAATTGTGGTAATGGGGTAAAAGTTCTTAAGTCAATGTTTGGCGAAATTGGGTTAAGTTCTGAAACTACATGTTAAGTATCTATATTTTATTTTAGTACAGTAACTGAATAGAAATGTTGCCCCCTTAAACGACAACAAAACTTGAGAAATATAGGTACTCAAAACCTTGTTTTCTCCAAATTAAGATTTTTCACTCAAGAACTTTTACCCCTCACAGAAATAATTATGTACCACAAATTAAGAATATTTTGAACTTTCCCTAAATAATTATATAACACTTGCATCAACAGCACCCACTTATAATAAGTGAAAATAAATTATGTAGCAGTAAAAACAACTTCAATAAATTTTGTGTTGCTATTAAAATTTATGATAATTTAGGTAAAAATTAATTGGAGATGCTGACTGCACCTAATAATAAGATTAGGGATCATTGCTGAGTGAAGAAAGGATGCATAGGCAAGAAAATTTCTCACAAGCCATGCACACAACTTCATGGATGATGCATGGGCAAGAGAGTACTGTGCGAGACTGTAATGGTTCAATTTTTAATTTTTTCTTTGTAATCTAGCAGATTCAGTCCATACAACATTAATGAAAGAAAAACAATTTCCATTTATTGTAACAATTTGTACATTATAACTTTTTAATTTATTTATATTTTTAAATTTAATTAGTTAATAATTTGATGTTTTAGTATAAGATTGAATAAAAGGAATTATTTCAGCCAATGTCGAAAAATTTAAACTAATAAATATCACTAATTAACACCCCACCTTCTCCCAAGTAACACAGTGTAATGCCACCAATGCCTCTTGGGTGTTTAGTTATTTATGGATGATCCCCTGGGTAAAAAAGCTAACCCTGTAGACTCAAAAACGTGTACTGTATTTTCTGGAACTTTCATTGGCTGACAGGGTCCAGCTCTTTTGAGAAAGTACATCAAGAGACTAATGTAATCTAACAGGAAGAAAGAAGAAAATAAAAAAGAGAAGAAAGAAAGAAAAAAGGAAAAACACAAGAAAAGAAAGAAAAATTAAAGATTTTTTTGAAAACCTTATTTTATGAAAATGTAAAATAAAATTTTAACAAACAACTTATTCATAAGAATATTTCTTGATACCCTGTGATGAGCTGATGTTATTAATGAAGAAACAAGTAAAAACACAAATAAAATGCTTAAACTCTCTACTTTTCAAAAGAACTAGTTATCATGCAACGCCATCAACTTTTTTATAAGAAACAAAATGATTCTTAATCAAAAATGAAGTGCTGTGACGTTTAATCAGTGTTTTGGAGAATCGCTAATCAAAATTTCTTCTTTGTTTACCAAATTTTGCAATCTGAAATAAATAAAGATGCAATTAGGATAAATAATACCTTAAGAATTTCTGAAATATTTGCAGTTCAGGGTGAAAAGTTACAAAATTTACTTCTTACTTGAGAATTGGCACCTACATTTTCCTAAAGATGACTCATAATTTGGTGAAGAATTTCTTGGTTAAACCAACAAATACATGAAACAGTATTTTTGAAAATGAAAAACATCAGTATAAAAATCGTAACTGATGCAATTTTATAACTATTAGGCAAATTGTTTAATAACAATTTTAAACTGTTAGTGCAAACTTATGCCCCTTGAATAAAAACAAACTGCTTGTTATTGTATAACATGTCACACATTTAACTGAATTTTGATGTTACTAAAATATTTTATATACTACATGCCATTTACTTCCTACTGAATCTCACATTCATAGTTAGTAGTTTTAAAACAAATAAATTAAGAATAATTTTTATAATGGTATGTGTTTTACATACTTTTTCAGAGGTATATTATCATTATCTTGTCTTTAATGACAATATCACCCACGATGAATACAGTTTTTTCATGAGCTTAAACTACCTTTTAGATCATTATTCAGGAGAAGAGCCTAAAACAAAATGAACTAAAAAAAGGAATGTTCTAATACAATATTTTCTACTGCAACATTATATGCCAAATTAATACACAACCAATGTGAACTTCAACTGTCATCTTTAACATGATTATATGTGAGGTATTTCTATCTAATAACTTGCTCCTAAAGTGATATGTCTTCATCAAAAAAAAATTACTCACAAATTTCTTCCGTACTCTCATCTGAATCTTAACTCTTTCAGAATATCATATCTCCCCCTTAGCAATTGCTCTTAAGAAAACTGAAATATAACAAGAATGAAAACTGCACTTTGAAGACGTTTGCGTCAGCTATTAATTATTTTCTTGAGAAATTCTAAAGACTTATAATTAGATAAAAGACTAATTTTCAATTTTTACACTAGAAAATCAAATAAAAAGTTGAAATTTTGTTTTACACCTCAGAAACAGATACAATTTTTAAAAGCACACACCCCTGAGGAATTCGATTTAAAAAAATAACAAAGTTCATTTAAATTCTCTTTGTTTCCAGAAAAAACATAATAAGGATGTCAATAACACATATACAAAAACTGATAATGATTTTTCTGGAACTTATGCATTAATGGTCTCCCAAATTAATAATCCAATTACTAATTTCCAATGCACACAGAAACTGACAGAAAACTAGGCAGCCTCTGACCATGTGAAGAGGCATTTTGGCTTGATTTGGGAAACATCCAGCAAGCAATGAAAAACATTGGAACAGCTTCAATTTTGACTGAAAAAAGCAAATATTTGATTGACTTCTTCTATTTTCATACTGCACGTACTGATTAATTCTCATACGCAGTGCATCACTGTTTCCAATACAGTTACCAGCAAGTCTCCAAGGAAGAGGCCTCCCACAATTAAATATTTCCTACTCAATCATTCAGTTGTAGAACAGTAGCTTTGTTTTAGAACAGTAACTTTTTTTATAATCTTCATATAAAAAGATGAGTTGTTCTACGAATATACTATACTATGTTAATATAGTATTTAAGAAGACTCTTTTGGTTAAAATATTTAATTTACTGCAATTATAAGAGAGATTTTTATTTTACTTTCTGTAAACCGTTTTGTATGGTTCTGTTCAGCGGTACATTTGCTGTTGCAAGCTTCTTACGTTAATTCTATTTTTTTTTAAATATGTTTTTTTAAATAGAATTAGGAACACTTAGTTCCTCTTCAATTTTTCCTTGCTTTCAAACCTGTGAAGGAGTTCCTGATTTCTCAAGTCTCAAAACTTCAGAAGTCTTCATTAGTTTTCTTACTTTAAAAGTCACCACATGGCCCATTCTTCTATTCACTAGTTTATTTAACTGAATTGATAGGAAAACATTCCTTACAAACTGCTTCCAGCAATTTGAATTATTTAGTAATGTGAGAACTGATGATTAAGTAAAACTACATTTCTATTCTTGTTCTCCCTAACAAGTTAACAATAAGTAATCCACATGCAAAGTTCTCCACAATAATACTTCACAATACAAATACCCCTGAAATTATATATCTAAAATCATCCAGCTTCTAAATAACTTCATTTAAAACATAACAGAATTCAGATCATGCAATCAGTATTTTATGAGTCAATACATACTGTTCTTCCTGTTCGAACTTTTGAAGCACTTTAAATCCTTGCTCTAAAGAAGGACGTAATTGTTCTGCAGATGTTCCATCACCTAATGCGGCAGGTACATGGAATTCTGGCACATCTGCGTAATCATCTTCATTTTCTATTTTACATCTGTAACAATATGATTTTAGGAACAAATTAGTGTAGTTTTTTATTTATTTTTGAAAGTCAAAAATCATCCTACTAGTAAACTCAAAAATATACTCACTCAATTATTTCGGTAGTTTCTTGTTTTATCTGAGTTGCTGTGAGAATAGCATGCTCTGCAGCAAGATAGTTACAATGATCTAATACTTTTTGATGATACTTTAAGATTCTATCTTGGTAAAAGTTATGCACAATAAGCATACTACCAATTCCCATTTCATGAAATGTTCTTTCCATTACATCCTACAATTATTCAATTCAATACACATTAATACATATTTAATACAAGTTGCATTACAATGTATATTTTAAATTTAAGTAGTTTCTAAATCTAGAACATAATTTATTGGACTTTATGAAACAAGGAGATTTTCTTTTTTTTTATTTTATTTTATTTTTATTTATTTATTTTTTCCTTCTTTTGTAAAAATGAAGTATTTTACATCTATATAGATTCTGAGTCAACTTTCGATTAAAAATGACTAGCCACACCATTTGCTTATCTCTAATACAATTGTAACAATCTGAGTACATACCGGAAAACCAACATTTCCAGTCATCATTTCATGATCTACTCCCACTCGTAATAAACGAGTGAATTTAATAAAATACTCTTCACTAACATCAGTCATTACATCCAGAGCTACCTGTTGGGAATCTTCACAGACAAAAGCAGTATGGATAAATAACCAACTAAAATTTACAAATAATTTGCAACCTCCATTACAGTTCCTTATTTCTATGCTAAAAATAAGAAAATAAAAATGTATTTACCATCATAGCCAATATGAGCAAAAATAGTGGCTACACACTTTCGCAATATACTTCGAGCATTTGTTTCAGTCAACCGATGAGGAGGTGGGCCAATGCCTTCCATAAAAGGCCTAGAAGAGAATTGATTCTTCAGGAAGGTTAGTAAAAAAAATATCAAATGCTTAAAAAAGTACTACTTACGTAGATATTCTTTCCTTGAAACAGAAAGGAGCTGGTCTCTGAGGAAATTTTTTTTTCAATTCATCAGGAAAAGGAGGGGAATTCAGAGCTGAAGTATCAATATTTCCCCTCTGCAACAAAGAAGTCAATAAAAGAATGTACTAAAGGTTCATTTTGGGCCAAGTAAATTTAATGGCCTCTAGCTTTGAGATAATTTAGAAGAAATAAGACAAATCTCTAAAGTATCTAAAATTATCTAACTGTTAATAATAATTTATATTACAAACACTTTTTGCAAGAAACAAAATTGAAAAGTGAAATAGGTACTTAGACACAAAAGACAAATATTATTGTGTTGCAGGCACACTAATTTTGGAGCTGGATCACCATGAAGTAGTGAATTTTACTACTGAACTTTAATCTTCCTTCTACGTCAAAGCAGTCAGCAACCAAATGACACTCCCAGTCAATCTACATACACATATAGTGTACGGTGTTTGACTATGCCGAATTAATTCACTTGTTATAGCAATATACAAAACATACCTTAGCTTTCAATTTATCAATGACAGATTGCATTGACTTAGCATATTGCAACAGTTTAATAGTATGTATAACAGTTTCATCCATTTCACTGCATTCTGGAGGAAGCCTGCAAAGTGATAACGAGTACTTGTAAAGCCAAGCAGAGGGTAAACTAAACAGAAACAACGTTACTCCTTTCCCATTTTATATTATTTTTAAATAAAAATCTTAAAATGCTGAACTCACTCCTCAGAAGCTGGTTCCTCTTCACCAGTAGGTTCATGCAATTTTACAGCAATTGGCTTCATTGTGTTTTGTATCATTACATCTGCAAAATCTTCCGGTACTTCTTCTGCGGAAGGTATTTCACCCCAGTAACGTGATTTTGGGGGCGATTCTTCTGTCATTTTGAAGTTTTGATTAGAGGTTATGTTCACTATGCCCGACTATATAATAAACATTCCGGCAAAACTATTCACTCGCAAAACACTCATAGATCTTGACGTTCATTTATTGTATTCAACAGCCAATAAAAAATTAAGTAACGTCCATTCCCCAAAGTTAAAAGTCAACACATGAATAACAGCCAGTAGAGTACCACACAGAACCAATTCAAATCTCGGGCCGTCTCGGGCATTCCGGCATTCCTTTGGACAACACATTGGTGAACAGAACACTGGCATATATCAGCTTTGCCAACTTGCTAATTATAATTCTTATCTGTCACATTGCAGTGACAAATTGACAATCAAAACCTAGAAAATTACAATATTTCAGTGCTTTACTATTGTAAGCACCTGTGTGTGCTATTAGTAAAAGGTTTAGCATTTTGAAAGACTTAAAGCTATTTTTTCGACAACTATTGCATTAGTACTTCATTCTTTTGTACAGAACTACCATACATCCATACCAACACTATGGTTCTACTGTGTGTGTTCTCACCAAAATCTCCATCACATATGTGTGGGGAAGGGGGGGAGGGGAGTGGGCGTCCCCCCGCCAGTTAAAGAGGAGTATTCCAAACTGACCCGTACCCACCAAATATCTTGATGGTTAGATAATTTCCTATACACTACTGGCTGTACTTAAAGGATAATCTCTCTTTGGGTGTCTGTATTGATTATGTGTACCCTGAATCTGAAGCGAAACACTCAATAATTTTACACAATTACCAGTCTCCGCATGAGTGTATACTCATACCAACGATGTCATTGGCTGTGAACACTCACCTCTGTGTACTAAACGCAGATGTTGTTATGGAATGTACGGAACATAAAAATGGCGCCGACCAACGAGTGCTCGAATGGCAACGTAGGTTGGCAAATGGCGTCCTTGTACGGCCGCCGCCAGAGAGCCCATAGAGTGAGATATATATTGGTATCTCTCCTCTATGCAGGACCTGACAGGGGAGTTTGCAATCTACGTTGCCCAGCGTTATCTATTGGATCATTTTTAAACGACAAATATTCTTTTCGAATGATTTACGTCCGGCCAGTACTATCTGCTGGTATTCTATTAACTGATCTCCTTTTCGCAAGCCATTCAGTACAAGGGCAGTTAAGATGTAATCGGCAATGGTCGGCATCAATCCTTTCCGCTCCTAGACAAAACTATGTGAATATGCGTTCCGATCTTTGCGTCCAGTAGGTATTGTGCATTAAGATTGAAGAATGGTTTGCAATTCTGTAAAATGCTGCAAAACAGTCAATGTGGTTAGATAACAAGGCTGTGCTTGAAACAATTGGACCACCTCGGCCTGATAATAAAATTTTTTACAATCTGATAGAAAATGCAATCGTTCTTTTGTATGGAATTTCAAAGGGTAATTTTAGGGGGAATTTATCCACGTGTTCTCTCTTTGATTGTAAAACGTTCCAACATATAAAGAAAATTACCCCACAAAAAAAGTTTATCGCGTTCACAGTTCTCTCCGTTCGTGAGGTAAGCAAACGAAATCTAGCTGCGGATAAGCATATAAAAGAATCCGAGAGAGGCTTTTCACTTTGAAAAGGATTATAGACATTTTTTTTAGAAATACCATGTTGGAAGAGAGAGATTGAATGGACTTTTGTATGTTTCATTATAAAGAGTTTTGTTACGAGACTCATTTAATTTTAAAGAATGTAATAGATTTACAGAATTAAAAACAGAAGACTCAATTTAATTTATAGATCATGTGTTTAGCCTGTCTTCCGGGGAGAATTGAAAATGTAAAAAAAATTTAACTTTTAATGTGACCCTTTAAAACAAATCCAAAAAAAAACTTTATAACAATATTTCCAAAATGCCTAAATTTAATTTGATCCTGTAACTTTGTGTGCCCTCCCTTGCCTAATCCCAGAGCCGCCACTGTTCTGGATGGTACTGACAATTTGTAGAGCCAGCTACGCAAGGTTCATCGTTTGGGCGGATTCTTTTTTGCGAACTAGCCCGCCCAAAACTGGTCCCACAGATTCTCGATTGGGTTCAAATCGGGAAAGTTTGGTGGCCAGGGGGAAGTTACTGTAAACCCATCCCTGATGCCTTCGAACCATGCACGTACACTGCGAACTGTATGACACTTTGTATTGTCCCACTGGAGACGCCGTCTTGTGAGGGAAAGATCTGCAAATCAGTGGGGAAGATGTTCCGCAATGCTGACTATACTTCTGTTGATCATTCGTGCCTTCTAAAATGACGAGATCACTGAGGGAATGCCACGAAAACATTCACCATACCATCACCTCCCTTCCTCCGGCCTGGACCGTCCGGCGATAATTGCGGAATGTTTGCGTTTCAGACATTTCGGCGTCGTACACGCCATTTTGTCCGATGGAGCCTAGCCATTTGTTCATGGAGCAGAAATCTTGAATCTGTAAGAGTCACCTTGTCACCACTCAGTGAAGGTCCAGTTGCGGGTTATTCCGTCAATGTAAAATTCCAGACTTGCGCAAAGTGCACAATCAACGCTACCTTGATGCTTTTAATCACCACCCTGCGGCTGGAGACGGAGCGGACCGCAAGTGGCAACGGCGGCGGGCGTCCTTCGGCAACCTTCGGCCCGCCCCCGAAGTCCGTCGGTAAAATCGCTCCGCCTCGGCGATCAACTTCCGCTTGGCCCCCACCGCAACGGCCGACGATGAATTCGCCGGGAGTCCACCCCCCCCCCCAGCTAGTACAACAATGTCTCACTGGCACAGCACGAACGACGCCGCGAATGACGCCCGTCAGCGGTTCCAGTCTCAAGCAATCCTCTCAATCTTCGCGCGAATGTCTGCACAGTACGGCCCGGTGCTGCAAATTACAACGCCGGGCAGAAATATAACACGTGTCGTCGGCCACACGAATTCATGTATTAATGTTTTTGATTTCGGTTCTGGTGTGCCCTTCCATCTTTCACTAATCAATCTGATTATTAACGTTCATCAATCTAGTCCTCACTAACACCCACATTCAATCCAAACTGTTCTACACCGACCATAAATTTGTTTGATGCAGCACTGCCACCGTCCGTGTTTCCTCACGGCTCTTTCTCTGTATAATTGATAGGAAATTTAGCTTGGAGGAGTCAGATTCAGGAAAGGTAATCTTATAGAAATGCGCAAGAAGAAGATTCGAGGGGACATCAGTAAATTTAGAGATAGAAATAGGCGATAATGTTAAAATTTTAGTTCGGGAAGGCTTTAGAAAGAGGACCCGAGAAAAATGAGGAAACTGCTTGTCCTCACAGTGAAGCAGGCTAGAATTTTCGGTGGCGACCCCAACACAAACCGCTATGTTTTTCGGGTTCTCCCTGACGACAACCTACAGTTATTCTAGATAGAGCCAAAATTATATGGCGCTTGCGCAAAGTTGGTAGGCCTTTTTGTCGCTCTCTTGCGCGTGTAACTTCCCTGGCAGCTAATGTTTGTCAAGGAATAAATTAATTTTTGCCGAATTAATGAATGATTTTAATCATATAACCTCCCTCTCTTCCATCCATTAATTATAAGAATGAACCGGCGATCCAAATGAGCTATAAAAGTTACTATATATACTATATATATATATAATAATATATATATATATATATATATATAATATATATATATATATATATATAATATATATACACACACGCCCACTGCACACGGCTTAATGATCCCCACTCCTCACCCACACCCACGCC